CTAGGGGAACAAAAAGTGACATAAACATAAACGCTCGGAGGTCCGCGCGGATTTCTCGGATCGGCGCTGGGGCCCCCCGGCGGCGCCTCCGGCGCCGCCCCTGGCGCGCTCCGCGCGCCAGGGAGGGGGGTCCAGCGCCGATCCGAGGCATCCGCGCAGACCTCCGAGTTTTTATGTTTATGACACTTTTTGTTTCCCTTCTAGGTGCGCTCGCGTCATATCATATCTGACGTCACTCCCTCGCATCCCTTGCCATGGCGTAGATATGTTCTCCATTCGCTCCGTCGGACGTCGAGTACGACAGTGATCCCCAGAGGGTACGCGATGCATGGTAGAGCACGGCAGAGCATGCCATAGAAAAGACAGCAGAGCATGGTGAGGTGAACCATGACAACACAAAGAATTCAAAAGCAAAGCATGGCATCGGAGAGCAGCACAGAACACAACGCCGCAGTGCATGTCAAGGCATGGCACCAGGTTTCTTAGAGGGTAAGTGGATCGTCTGGGTGCGGTCTGGGCCTGCTAAAGCTGCCCGCTCACAGGTGACCCGCGCGGGTCACTAGTGACCCTCCCGCGCCCCCCCTGGCTCTCATGAAAATAGCGGGTCGTTAATGGTGTCCGTTATTTGAGTGTGATCGTTTTATTGGTTCAGTTGGTTTACGGCGAACGTTGTGGCAGTTCTTTGGGGTGTGCCCGTTTTGGCGGATCATTGGAAGGCTTCCGATTGCTGGATCTTACGGGTGAGCGTTGTGGCGGAATTTTTGGAGGTGCTCGATGCAGCGGGAGCGTCATTTTGAAGGAGGGAAGTGCGGAATGAGGTTAACGCTACAGCGGCAGCACCAGTGAGTGAGAAGGGCCGAGATGATTGAGATTGGCCGAGAACACGGACATGGAGCCAGCGATGAGACGGTAGCTCCATGTTCGAAGAGCCGGACGTGTTGAAATGAAGTTAAATCAGGGAGCCAGAGACGGGTAACAGCAGACGGAGTAACAGGAAACGGCCGGTTCGAGGCATCAAATAGCCCTTTTGTTGCAGTGCAGTTTTCTTCGATGCAGCACCTTCCACATGCTGGCTGCGTTGCACATTGTTGGCTGCCGCACTGCAACTTTTTGTTTTGGGCCCTCTGTTACCCGGTCTGTGGGGCTTGTTTGCAGTTTTTCCGCAATTAGTTGCCAACAAATTGCAGTGCAATGTTTTTGGCGGTGCAGAAAAAATGCAGTGCATTTGTTAGTTCTGGTCGTTGAAGTTTTTCCACCTGGATCCCATGGTGGGTCTGTTACCCCGTTTAGGCGTTACCCGGCTTAGTGCTCCATGATTAAAGATGAATCGAGATCGCCCCTCTGGAAAAAATCCACCAGTCGCTTTGGCAACGCGCAAGCAAACACAGTTAGCGCGCATCTGGTGTAACAAACCATACGCGGAGGGGCAGCGAAAGCGTCGCATTGGAGAAAAGGAAAACCCAAATCATTGAATCCTGTATGTGGAACATGAAGTTGCGGAGGGGGCAGGCTATTTGTTTATTAGATTCGGGGGGGAGAGTAGAGAAGTATTCATAGTGTGCAATGTGTAATTGTGGAGGGAGGAGGGGGGATGAAGGGAAGGAGGGGAGGAGAGAGGGAGGGGAGGAGGAGATGAGAAGATACGTACATAGAGGAGAGGAAGAAGGGGGAGGGAGGAGGAGGAGGAGGAGGAGGAGCTGGACGACGACGGGTCGGAGGAGGACGAGAAGGAGCCAGATAATCTGGAGAGTAGGAGGTGCTGGTTGAGCACAAGGACGAGGAGGTGGAGGACGAGGAGGACGACGACGAGATGGATATGGAAGGGGAGCAGCAGCTACTACGTGGAGGAAGGGGGGGACGGAGGATTACGGACGATGGGAATTAAGGAGGGGGGATTGTTGGGTGGGTTGGCAGGGCTAGGGGACTCTATTTTTCACGGGTTCCAAGGGACGTCCCATCTTTTTCTTCCGCCGCCACTTCCTCTTTGCAACCATAATATGTAAAGTGATCCTGACTCCCACCTATCTACCATCACCATCACCATCATCTTTATACTCAGAATCAGCACCACCATCGCATTAGCATCACCATCATCATCAACATCATTATCATAAGCATCATCGCCATCATCGATACCATAATCATCATCATCATCAACAGCAGCCGCATCAGCATCATCAGCATCATCAGCATCATCAGCATCAGCATCATCATCAGTATCAGCATCATCATCAGCAACAGCATTCTCATCATCAGCGTCACCATCATCATCATCATCATCATCATCATCATCATCATCATCATCAGCATCATCATCAGCAGCATCATCATCGTATTAGTCATCATCACCACCACCATCATCATCATCACGTAATGATCCTCGTGGTCGTCGCTGTTGTCGTCGGCATCGTCGTCATCATCCTCAACATCCTCACCACCATCATCATCATCATCATCATCATCATCATCATCATCATCATCATCATCATCATCATCATCATCAGCAGCAGCAGCAGCAGCAGCAGCAGCAGCAGCGTCAGCACCATCATCATCATCATCAGCAGCAGCGTCATGATCATCATCATCAGCAGCAGCATCATCATTGTAGTCACCATCATATTCCCTATCAGCAGTATCGTAATTAGTACGTTCCTCGTCCGCATGTTCTTTATTCATGTCCAGCTTTCCTCCTCCGTCTCTTGCTCAATATTCCGCCTCTTCCATTCCTCCATGTATTCCCTAGTACGATCCCTCCTCAGTCTCTTGTTCCTCCTTCCTCCCTCTCCTCCCTGTGAATTTGGTCAGGGCGTCCGCGTGCAAGAAACAATCGGCTCACACTTCGCTTCCTCTCTCTGCAGCAGCATGCCTGTCATCCCCCCACCCATTTCCTAATACCTCCGCCTACAACCTCCTCCTTCTCCGATCCCCCCCCCCTCATCCTCCTCGGTATCCTCGTCCTCCTCCGCCTCATCATCATCCTCCTCCTCCTCCCCCTCCCCCTCCCCTCCTGATCAGCCACCCTCTTTGATCAATCATCCCCAATTCCTCCGCCCTCCCTCCTACGCCATACATCCTCCTTCCTACGCAAGCTCCTCCCAGCAGGCCCCTTCACCCACAGAGGAGCCCAAACGACCGCACTGCATGTGTCCTCAGGTCGCGATTGGTGCACACGCATGCGTTTGCCCAAAGAAGCAGCGCTTCCACTGCTGTCTGGGCAGGTTTCCTTGACCCTTGACTTACCAAGTCTGTTGAATGGGTTTGCCAGCTGCCCATCCCCTCCATCCTCCCCCCTCCCCTGGAGCCCTCTGGAGCCCCCGAGACAATCCAGAAACCTTTCTAGAAACCACGATACAGCATAGGAACATCATCATGTTCCTCCTCACCCTCCTCCTCCTCCCTCGTCTCTCTCTTTCTGTCTCTCTGTCTCTCTGTCGCTATCTCTCTCTCTATCTCTGCCTCTGTCTATCCCTCTCTCTCTATGGCCTCTCGTTCTCTCTCTCCAGCCAGAATCCGCCCAAGACTGTTCACCAGAACCATCCTGGGCACCGTCCTGACCCGTTTTGTTAACCTCGCCCAGCCGTTGCCAACGACAGAGGAGGAGATAGAAGGAGTGAACAGGGAGGAGGACAAGAAGGACAAGGAGGAGAAAGCATGAAGAAGAAGGGATAGGGAGGGATAAAGGAGGGAAGCGGGGCAAGGAAGGGAGGGAAGGAGGAGAAGGAAGAGAAAAACAAGAGAGGGAAGGACTACGAGGATCAGGTTTGCTGACCAGGTTTGCTAGATCTGTTCCCAATTAGGCTTGCCTCAGGGGTTCTCCTTTGGTTAAGAAGGATGGTGCCTCGGAGGGGGTGTGGGGGGGGGGGGGCACGTTGCCCGTTCCGCGGAGATTCCTCGGATTCCTCGGGTTCCTCGGGCTCCTCGGGTTCTCGGGTTCCTCGAGTTCCTCGGATTCCTCGGGTTCCGAACCAATTCAAAGCAATGCAAGCACTGCGCCCATGCAATAGGAAGCTTTCCCTTCATTGGGGTCGCGCCAGATTCATGCGGTTTTGAGGAAGGGGTGGTAGGGGGGTCCTTGCCTCCTCCCTCACTCACTCGCTGCCTCCTCCTCCTCCTCCTCCTCCTCCTCCTCCTGCTCATCTCCCTCAAGTATCACTTATCTTCTTCCTCATTCCTCCCCCTCCCTCCCTCCGTCCATCCATCACCCTCTCCTTCCTCCATCCTTCCCCTCCCTTCTCCCTCCCCTTCATCCCTCCTCGCTCGTCTCTCCTTCTCCCTCCATCATCTCCCCCCTCCTCCCCCCCCCCTCCCGACGACGCCGACGACGACGATGACAATGACAGCAGCAGTTTCTAAGAGATTGCGCCTTCGCTGCCCTCGTTTAACTCACCATGTATACCCTACACCCTCGACTCCCGCCCCCTTCGTCTATTAACGTAGCAACCTTGCCCCTCTGCAGCTCGTTGCATGCGTGCAACCCCTGGCAGTGCAGCTACCCTGGCAGCCGCAGCCAGCACCCCTTCCACTCGCCGGCCTGCCCGCCGAGGTGCCGCGTGGGGCTCCGGCCCATCGGCTTTGGGTCAATTCGTCTCTGCGCGGCCCGCTCTGACTCGACGCGCCGCTGGCGCTCTCGCCTGCGGTCGCTGACTAAAACTATTCACGCAGCAACCTCCGGCTTAGATCCAGGCATGGTAGAAGAGCCGGGCCCGACGGGCGGACTCTGACGAGCGGGCCGGTGGCGGGCGCCCCCCCTTGCGGGTGTGTCGGCGGGCGGGCCCGATGGTGGGCGTGCCGGGCGGGTGGACCCTATCGGGCGGGGCGGAGCTTGAGCACGACGAGCGGGTAGGAGAAGGGGCGAGGCGGTCAGGAAAGACGAGGGAGAGGAGGAAGGTGGAGGCACCACGCTAACAACGAGAACACAGGTGTGGCATACGGAGTCCTGTTCTCAGAACTGAAAGTTCAGAGACGACGATGACCACGACGACGACAATGACGACCACGACTACGACGACGACGACGACGACGACGACGACGACGACGACGCCCTGGCTGCTGTCCGCTGTGGCCCAGGCCGCTCTTAAGCAGCGCAGGCCCGCGCCCAAGCGCAGGGCAGGCCATGGCCGCACCAGCGATGAAGGCCAACGCTGAGGCGCCGCCGCTTGTCAAAGCGGAGCGAGCGACCCAGGAGGGAGAGGAGGAGGAGGAGGAGGATTTCAGCCGCAATTGATATTTGATTGGTATGGTTGATGATGCCCATTCCCAAAAGGAGGATCAGGAGCAGAAGGGAGAGGAGGAGGAAAATTTCAGCCGCAGTTGATGATTGATTGGTATGGTTCATGATGCCCCCTTCCAAAAGGAGGATCAGGAGGAGGAGGAAGAGAAGGAGGAGGAGGAGGATTTCAGCTGCAGTTGATATTTGATTGGTATGGTTAATGATGCCCCCTTCCAAAAGGAGGATCAGGAGGAGGAGGAGGAGGAGGAGGAGGAACGGGAGGAGGACGAGAAGGAGGAGGAGAAGGAGGACCAGCGTAAACCCAAGAGTCATCGACGATGTGGGAGTAAAACCTTCCACCAACATCCCTCTTTTGGTGTGGTTGATGATGCCCCTTTAAGAAAGGAGGATCAGGAGAAAGAGGAGGAGGAGGAGAAGGAGGAGGAGGAGGAAGGGGAGGAGGAGGAGGAGGAGGAGGATTTCAGCCGCAGTTGATAATTGTTGGGTCTGGTTCATGATGTCCCTTTCCAAAAGGAGGATCAGGAGGAGGAGAAGGAGGAGGATTTCAGCCGCAGTTGATTTTTGATTGGTGTTGTTGATGATGCCCCTTTCCGAAAGGACAGGAGCAGAAGGAGGAGGAGGAGGATTTCAGCCGCAGTTAATAATTGATTGGTGTGGTTGATGATGCCCCTTTCCAAATGAAGAATCACGAGGAGGCGGAGGATGAGGAGGAAGGGGAGGAGGAGGAGGACGAGGAGGAGCAAGATGAGGATGACATGATTCCTAGGCGTACTTTTATTGCTCGGGGCCTCAAGAGACCTCCAGCGGTGGCGGCGAAGCGAAGCGGGAGACCCAAGAGGGAGATGAGGCGGAGGAGGACCAGCGTAAATCCAAGATACATCCACGATGTTGCAATACACACAGTCCCTCAAAGTTCCTTCTTCATGGACCCCCATAGGCATGTATATTCAATGCGGAACGCGGCGGATCAGGGTGACTGGTGGGTCTTGACATGTCTAAATCAGGCCAGAACACCCGCCTGAGATTTCAACACCGCGAGTCAATGTGACTGTTGCACCCTGACAATCCTAAATCGCGCCAGAACACCATCCCTGGGACTTCGACCATGCGATTCCTCCAAATCGCTACCACATGTTCAATGAGTGAGTGCGGCAATAAAACGAGAACCACATTCTGAAAACCACCCACCATCCATCCGTGAAATTGTTGCAGCTTTTTGTTTAACGGATGTGAGCGGCGCTGAGGCGAGAGCCACATGTTGAAAAAGGCCCGCCCTCCATCCGAGAAGCTGCTGCAAACTTTTAAGACGAATGCTCACGGCGCTAACCCGATAGCCACATCATGATGGAAACCACCCTCCCGCCACCCGTGAAACTGTCGCAACTTGTTTACACGAATGTGCGTGGCGCTAATACGAGAGTCTCAATTTGACAACGACACGCTTTCCATCCGCGAAATGACTGCAAAGTTCCAGCTCCAGGATCATTAATTAACGGCGAGGTCTCAGACAAAACGCCCGGCCCACACTGCCGACACGTCTGGGGGTGCGACAGGGAGGAGTTGCTTATAAGGAGAAGGGATGGAGTAGGATGTCCCCCCCGCAAAAAATTATATCTGCCAAGTTCGGTAATTTGACTCGTCTTGTATGTTGTCGTCATCACGCGCCAACAATGCCACGACGGAGCGGCGTCCGTTCAGCTGTATGATGGTTTTCTGCCGAAGCAAAACGAGGAGGACGGGAAGGAGGAGGAGGAGGAGGGGGAAGGAGGAGGAGCAAGAGGAGGATCACGGTATCTCGAAGCGGGCTTGGATGTTGCGGGGCCTCGAGGGACCTCCTGGGGATGAGGAGGAGAGAGGCGGGTGCCAACTCGCTCCGGCCTCCTGTGGAGGATCCCAGGGCGCCCTCGTCGCTTCGGCCGGCTCCGCCCGGAAAGTCTCGGCAGGCCGCGCGCCAGGGCAGGGTTGGGGCACAGGCGACGGCTCTGTGCTTCGGGAACGGCGGGAGGAAACGCACGACGGGTGTCTTTGCTCCGTCTGGGCGTCTGAACGTCCTTTTTTCTTCTCCGCCGTCCCCCCTTCTCTCTTTGCCTGCCGGCCACTTCGCTAGCTAGTGCCCCTGTCTAGCTTGTCGCTGGAGCGGAGTTCGCCGCCTCGCCGCCGACGAAAAAAGTCGTTGTTCCGTCATTTCGGTTTCAGGGGGCTGCTCTCGACTGCGGGGACCTGCAGCCAGCGTGTCGGACCCCGGGCGGCCAAGAGGGCGGTGATATACTGGACGGGGGAGAACACCGTGGACTGGGGCATGATATCTCCCCAGATTTCGTGCCAACCTCGTCTTCTTTCAACCTATCCCCTGGTCCCCCCCCTTTCGTCCGCGCACATATCTGCGAGCCCCCCCTTGGACGTCCCGCTCCTTGGACGTTCCCGATGGGCCAGCAAAGCGGCCCCAGGGAGCAGAATGGTCTTAGCGTCGTGAGAAGAAAAAGCAAACAAACAAACAAACGAGCAAACAAGCAAACAATCAACAACACATCAGTTTAGGACTGTTCGCTCTTATCGGTTCGTGCGCAACTTACCACATATATCTCCAACCCTTCATACCCGCCCTCTTCGTTTTCGATCGTACCCCCTTGGGGATATGTCATCCCTGCGCCGCGTCTATTCGATGCAGCCCTTAAAACTGAAGAGGGAAGAGACAAGAGGGAGGGAGAAGGATGGGGCACAAGAGAGATTTGCAGGAGGAGGGTTATGTGCAGGAGTACAGGCGGCAGAGCCAGACGGGCGGGCGGGCGGGCGGGCCGTAACGGGCACATACGCGGACGGGCCCAGACGGCCTGGTCGAGCGGGCGAGTCGCTGAAGCTTCAATCCAAGATGAATGGCAAGGAAGTTTCGAGCGACAGCGCGATTGACAAGCAAATCGCCAGGGAATCCAAAGCGATAGCGTGATTCCTGAGTCTTGGGGGGGATGGCGCCGCCAAAAATTGTGAGGAAGCACCACGCGCGAGTGCGATTCCTGCATACAAGATGAGGAAGTCCCGCGCGAGAGCGCGATCTTAAAATAAATTGTGAGGACATCATTCAGGCGGGAGCCGCTGTTGTTGTAAACTGGAGGCCAACAACATAGTTTGAGCCTCAAGATTTCCCCCTGTAAAAACACAGGTTACGAGCCCCAGGAGGAGCATGTTAATTGAAAAACCAAATGGGCACCGGGGGGATCAACAATACGTATGTGTATAATGAAGGTTCAACAACAAGAACAACAACAGCAGCAACAACAGCAACGACAATAACGACATCAACAACAACAACAACAGCAGCAACAACAAGTACAACAACGACAGCAACAACATACACAGAAACAACAACAACAATTGCACCCTTACGCGCGACGTTTCCACACGTAGCATGCGACCATCATGATAACCATCCCCATCATGGGGAACTATTGTTCTATAGCGGGGTCCGTTATTCCCATTCCCAGATTCCCCGCCCAATGAAGTCTTGCAAACACTTCCTCCGAGGAATTTCATCATATCCCGCCTCGAAAATACATGCCCGCGCCTTGCTGCGCCGATGCGAGACCGCCAGTGGAGCCCCAGCCAAGGGTAAAGCAAAAGGAAGTATCGAGCGACAGGATTGCCTTGGTGGGGATGGGGGCTGTCGGCGGCGAGGCAAAGACCTGGCCCTGAATGGAAAGGGAGGAAGTCTCGAGCAGGGCCGCCGGTGTTGCTGGGAGCGGCGCAAATGCTGAAGAGAGTAGGGCGGTAGTCCAGCGTAAAACAGAACGACGTCTCGAGCGGGAATGCTGATTTTGTTAGGACGGCGGCTGTCGGCGGCGAGGAGGAACATCGCCTCGAGTAAGAAGGGAGGAAGCCTCGAGCGGGAACCGTGGTTTTGTCGGGACGGGGGCTGTCGGCGGCGAGGAACATCACCGCCCTAAGGAAACAGGGAAGATGCCTCGAGCGAGAGCGTTGTTCCTGCTGGGAGCGGTGCCACTTCAAAAGAGAGTAGGGCGCAACAAGTCCAGCGTAAAACCGGAGGAACTATCGGGCGGGAGCGCTGGTTTTGCCGTGTCGGGGTTTTCGGCGGCGAGGAGGAGCACCGCCTTGAGTAAAAAAAGGGGAGTCTCGAGCGGGAGCGTTGTTGTTGCTGGGGGTGGCCCCGATGAGAGAAACAGTAGCGCGCCAGTCCAAGGTAAAACGGGAGGAAGTCTCGATCGGGAGCGCTGGTTTTGTTGGGACGGCGGCTTTCGGCGGCGAGCAAGAGCACCGGCCATGAGTAAAAAAGGAGGAAGTCTCGAGCGGGAGCGCTGTTGTTGTTGGGGGGCGGGTTTGGGTGCCCCCCCGAACCGCTCGAGAGTGAGCCTCATTTTCAATGAATATGTAGCCGGCGCCGAGGCGAGAGCGCCAGGGCGCCTGGGGGAGGTCCAACAATAATAATTGTTTAGCTTTTAGCGTTCTATCATTGTAAGACTATTCGCTCTTTTCTGGTCGAGTGTCATTCAACGTGTATTTCCAAAACCATCGATACACGCCCTCTTCGTTTTCGATCGTACCCTTTTGGCGGATAGATGTTTCTTCCCTGCAGGCCGGGCCCTGGCAAGCGGCGGGGCGGCCGCGGACCGTCGGCCTGGCCAGCGGCAGCGCTGACCGGCGGCAACCCGACCCCAAGAGGGGCGGACAGGGGACCGACCACGACCACGACGACGACGACGACGAGCGAAAGCGAGAGCGAGAGCGAGAGCGACAGCGGGGCCACGAAGGGCAGGAAGGGGGCCCCGAAGGGCGACGGTGGAGCCACGAAGGGCATGCGCATGGGGCCACGAAGGGCGCGAACGAGCGGGGTCCACGGAGGGCAGATAATGCTGGTCCACAAGGGGCAACGTCGGGGCTATTGAGGGTAGCAACGGGGCCACGCA